CCTGCCGGCTCCCGCATCCCCGCAGCCGGTCTGTGGCACGAGGCAGTGACCACAGTGTCCTGCAAAGCCAAATTTGCTGGTCATGGGGTTTTTTTGTTTAATTTTTTTGGGTGGGGAGTTTCTTTTTTTATTATTTGTTAGGTAGGAAGGCAAAAAAAGAGTTGTCCCTCCCTGTGCTCCCCCTTCCAAGTTAATTCCCTTTAGACACTGCTTGTGCTGCAGGGAGAGATGATAGTGAGCGACACGTGGCTTTATTAAAACAACAACCAGGGATTGAAATTTGCTTCACTGGCTTGTTTGATTGGAAAAATAATAGTTAATCTGTGAGCAAACAGTTGAGCACTTAATTAGAGGGGTGTAAGCAAGAGAGAATAACAAAGACTCTTAACTTGTTAAAACAAAGTTTCCTTTGCTTCAGCAAAGAGGAAGGAAGGAAGGAAGCAAGAATAAACAGCTTCAAGAATTTTAATGGTGATAATTAAGTATAGTAACTATGAGTTGTTTAGAGGCTTGATGTAACTTTATCCAGTAAGCACCAAGTTCCTACTTGTTTGATCAACTTAACTGCAGTTATTTTTGTGGTCGAAGCAATTCAGATTTTGCATTTCCATGGTAGAGGTACAAAGTTAATCGCTGCTTTCTGGCTCAGTGGAGATTTTCTCTGGGGGACATGATGGGAAGCTGGAAAGCCACGGGTGCTCATGTAGTGCCTGCAAACACAGGGGGACTAAAAGTGCGCTTTTGTTTTTTTCCAGATCTATCAGATTCCACGTTGTCTTACACTGAAACAGAGGCTACAAACTCACCCAACGTCACGCCTGGAGACTTCTCAGGTTGGCAGATGTTTGCGCCTTCCCGCACGCGTGGTCTGCGCCGGGGAGCTTGTGGCGGGGGCAGGAGTGCAGGAGGAGATGGGGGTGGCGGTGCTGCTTTGGTTTATATTCTTGGTGTGAAAAGCAGGAAAAAAGAGAGCAGCTGTTTGAGTTGATTGTTCAGAGACGTCTGCGCTTCGCGTGTTGTGGTAAGCTGCTGTTCGTGGGATGAGCGTTGTGGGATGAGCAGCGACGTTTGGGAAGGTGGCCACGGGGCCACACGTGTCCCCTGTGCAAGCCACCCAGACTTTGTCCGAGCCCCGGGGTCGTGGGCTGGCGTGGGGCGCCCGGGCCGTACGCCGTCACCGATTTCATGGCGGGAGCTGTGAGGCCGTTTCCAACGATGCTGCTTTGTGGCGGTTCTTGCCGAGTCCGTCCGGCTGGCCTTACCTGTTGGGTCCTGGCCCCGCAGTGCAAACCCGGCTTTCATGAGCAGGGCTCTCAGCTACGATGCCGCTGAAGCTCCTGAACAAAGCTTTGCTTAATTAGGTCCTGTTTTTTTTGCTCTGCCCCACCCTTGCAACCTTTCATTCATTTAATGGTGCTCTGTAAGGCCCGGGGTGGTTTTACTTCAAGCAGGCAGAGAGTCGGGGCTTTCATTTGCTTGGTTTGGGCTCTGGCTGTGGTGATGGTTTCACGTCCTTCCCCTCTGGTGCCTTGGCCCAGTCTGGGGGCTGGCTGCCTGGAGGGGAGGAGGGACCTGCCTACAGGACCAAGTTTCATTTCTATGTAAGAAATGACCTGGTTAACGGTCTGAGAGTGAAGGTGAAGACAGACAAAGCTTCGTCCTGGTCAAGCCCCGTGTGCCTCCTTCGGTGGTTGGGGTGGGCTTTGCGGTGGGGTAGGACTTGGGCACCTTGGCGCTGAGTAGCTGGATTGCTGAGCGTGTGGATGGGGTTTGCTGCTCTCTCCGGGGGATGCTGTAAGTCAGCGGTGGTGGAGGGGACCCTCGGGCTACTGGTCCGTTAGCCACGGCTTTTCTCTTCTCATTCTCTGCCTACAAGAGTTTATGGCCATTTTGGTGAGACCTGCGACTTCCTTGGGATGTTTAAGCCAATCTCGACTCTGCAGCACTTCAAAGAGCATTTCAACAGCCCGGCACCGCAGTGTCAGGGCACGGTGGCACATTTCCCTCCAGGGATTTTCCCTTCTCCTTCTCCTTTAAGGTCCTCCTGCCGCGGTGCTGCCGCGTGCCGAATCCAGCACGCCGGCCCGCCTTGCTTTTGTTGTGCTGCCAAGTGTCCATAGCAGGGGAACAATTGATAGCCAGGAGTTGGATCGTTCAGGGTTGTGCTATAATAAATATGTGTTTGCAATTCTTAACAAACATTCCTTGGGCTGGATACATGTCTGTAAAGCTCCCCGTGCCCATGGCTTTTGTTGTAACTTGATAATTGCCGTTAATTATAGCAGCCGAGTTTGAAAACCGGGGTTCCTAAGGATGTAATGGTTTAGCTTAGCCGAGTCCTGTATGGGACATCTGGTGGGTTTTCTGGAATAGGAGAGATTTTAACTTTTACTTGAACAATATAATGATAACATGTGACCGAGATTGTACTGAAATCAGATACCTCCTTTCCCCCTGTGTAGTTTCCAGTGGTGTAACTTTTAATAAGAGTCTGGGGCTGTATGATTTATTTTTCCCCAGTGCTCGTAATTGCTGAAAGAGGATAAGAGCTTCGCTGAAGTTAACCCATACTTGTCATCACAGGGAAGTACAAGGAAAAAAAACCACTTAAGACTCTAGTCTATCTGCTGTATTTCAGTTTGTTTATTCTCCATTTCAACTTATTTAATAGGTCTGCTTGAAACGTAGGCCTGTGCAAACGTTACACAAAGCACGTGGTCTTCCCTGCCTTTTCTTGTGTGGACCGAGGGAGCTCAATGTGCGTTTAACTCTCGTTCCAAAAATAAGTACATTTTGGATCTAGCATCAAGCCACTACTATTTATTGCTTCAGCTTTGATCATCAAAAAAGCTTTTCCTACTAAAACCGCAAAATTCAATTTTGGATAACAAAGAAAACCGTTCTTCTGCTGTTACTCGTTTACTTGATGAACTTCTAAACAGGAAGCTTTAGCATGAAGTCAAAAGATATCATCTCTGTCATATGTATAAATTGGAAAAAAAACCCAACAAACCCTCTTTTTTGAAGTAGACCTTTTCGTGACAATAATAACGCTCTTAAAAATGGGAAAAAGTCCTCAATGAACTAGCAGGCTCATTGTAAAATTCAGAGTAACAGTCAACGTGAACTGGAAGCACAAGTTGCGAGTAGTTGTGCGGATGCAGCCTTCCGTGTCGTGAGCTGGATCCATGGATGATAGCAGAGATCGTGAAGTAAAGCTGTCTGTCCAAGGATCAGTGTCCAGCCACAACATGTCCCTCGGACTGGGAATGCTTCTGATTTCCCAGTGAGGTACAATGGCTTGGGAAGGTCTGGGTTGGTGGGAAAAGACACTTGGAGGTGTTTGATCCTGAAGTTTCCATCTTCTGAGCTCAAGCGGTTTCACATTCAGGCTTGTGGGAGTAGGAAGAAGGGCTCCGTCTTTTCCTCATTAGATTTATTTCGGCAGCTGTGTACGCCTGGGGAGCGGAGGTGAAGAGAACCTGCGGCTTTGGGAGTTGGATTTTGAGCCCAGGTGGTTCCCCTGGGTGGGGTTGTGCCTGTCCCCCGGGTACCGACAGAGCCTTGGCCGGTGTCAGCGTCCCCGTGGCTCCTCCGGCCGGAGCTGGGGAAATACCAGGGAAAGGGCAAAATCCAGCAAGGCAGAAACAAAAACTCAGCCCCGTGACTCATAATTGGTGGAACATTTGTAGTAATTTTTTTTTTTTTTTTTCCCTTCCCCTCAGACTTGGCTCCTCTACCACATGCCAAGAAGCTGCTGTACCCGTTAGACTTGCCAGGCTTGTAGAGAGCTGTGCTGCTGCTGCGGGAACTGGTTCGGGACGGTGGGGACGTGCTGGAGCAGATGTTGTAGGCCGTGGGCTTTGGGATTCCCTGCCTTCCCCTAAATCCCACAGGGCTATCCCTCACCTTCCCTGGGAAGGATCCTTTCTTAAAGACCATGAAATAGCCCCGCTCCTCAGCGCTCCCTCCCCTTGCACAGCACGCGGTGGCCGTCTGTCTTCTCTGGCTAAAAAAGCCCCATGTGTTCCTACAAGTAGTGACCAGAGTTCTCGTTAGTGGTGGCATTAAATTCTGGGGCTCCTAAGGACCGTGGAGGAGGGGAAGGGTTGAGCACAGGTAGGAGAGCAAAAGGTGGTGTTGCTGCTTGGGAGCCTCCTGTAGGTCTCCATGCTGGCTTGACCATTTTTTGTGGCCACTGCAGCTCTGGAGCAGCTTGTCCATCCTCTGGAGACTGCAGGAATATCGGGGCATCGGTTTTCTTTGGAGCAGTAACAAAGAAGGATGAGTAATTAGCTGTAGGAGCAGACAGGTAGTGATGGGTGCAGCTCAGCGCTGCCTCGCAGCAAAGTCTCCCGCCACCGTGCAGAGGTCCTGCACCGGCCGGGTGTCTCCGTTGAAGATACCTAACGAAGGCTGTGCCTGAAGCAGTCAGTGCCAAGCTCTTCGGATAGCTGTTTTTCCTCAAAATGAGCCACTCATCACTGGAACCTGTCTCATGTCTCCCTAC